CTCCGATGAAGCCGATATTTGGTACTACATGGCCGATTCGTTGAACTGGTGTAGCATCGAGATCTACGCAGGTATGTCTCCTCTCATATCTTTGATGAGATCCCTCAAGGCTAACTCTATGTTTTCGCAGCTATCATCTGCAGCTCGGCATCCACCTTCAAAGTTCTCATCAAGACCTACCTTCCTAAAGTCTGGAGCAGCGCCGGAAGTCACGACAAGGCTTCTGGCACATCTCGACGTACACAGTCCGACCGATCGCGTAGTGGCAAGTTTGAGATGAAGCGTTTTGGCATCTCGTCGAACAAGTCAAACAGCAATAGGAAGTATGGCATTGAGGGGCTCACAGACCTTGGGAATGAAAGCGAGGAAGCTTTTGTGCGACCTGAAAGCAAGATGGGCAGGGATATCGCGGTCTTCGTGACGCAACACTAGCTCATTTGGGAGTCGCAGTCACAAATGAAGCTGGACAGCTTGGTGCTAAGCAAAAGAGATAGACAAAAGCATAGCTTTGCGAGAGTTCTTGCGCCAATTAGCCATTGAGGTCAGAGTGTGCTGTCTGTATTATTTCCCCATCTTGCATGCTTAGAGAAGCAACGGAGAAGGCAAGCAACTTGGCTATATCGTGAACGGGAAGACACGGATATGACAATACATTTCCATTACGAGCTGGGCACTCCAGAAACCGCATATATGATACCCATTACGCGTCGCATGGGTGAGAGTGGAAGTGTGCATCCGCAGAGCATCTCTCGCGAGGGAAAAGCAATGAGCGATTTGGGACGGGAAGTGATCTGGGTCCAGATCGCTGCCTAGTGGCGCCGCGGTAACTAGCGGTGATCCGCCTTTCCCTTTTCAGTCATAACGCGGCACGCCTTACATTCACCCTGAGGCAGCCGCCCGTGAACGTCTTCTGGGCTCCGCGCTCGAGCGTTCGTTGCCTTGAAAAAATTCTATTCATGGCTTCGTTCAGGCTGACCCGACAGGCCTCGCGCATTGCAGCCTGGCGCGTGCCCAGATGTAGCATAGCTCGTTCTACACCGTACCTGTCTTCGAGTCTACAAATGCAAAGACAGATTCCCATAGTCCGCTATCAACAATTCACCTCAACGTCACATACCGCTACCGCTGCAGGGAAAGAGACAATGGAAGAAAGTCTTCGCAATATGAATCTTGATGCGGCGGAGAAGCACATGAAGGACTGGTTCGGTGACCATGCATCATGGAGTCACGAGCAGCTGCTCAATCTTGTTTATGGTACTAAACCTTCATTCAACTCATGACCATACACTAACAAATACAAGAGGAGGACCTCGTATCAGTGCGAAACCTACAGGGCTTTAGTGACTACAGTACTGGCGGTCGCAGACCCGGCGGCGGCCGTCCGTCTTTCCCACTCATGACACAAGAAGAATACGGGCTGCTGACCGCGCCATACAGTCAATGGGCTCCTGCACCTTTCAACAGAAACAACTACAGTTGCATGGACCGCATTGCACCGCTGATGAAGAGGCAAGAAATCCCAGAGCTCCGAAGATCACCACACATGGGCTTCCTCGCGCGTCTACGCCCTCTCAAAGCAAAGCTCTTGCTTGGTATGGTGCCAATCAGCGGAGATCGCTGGGTAGAACGCAAGATGGATGATCCTGCCAACTACAGGAACCTCTTCGAATTGATCAATGACCTCACCAAGATATTTGAATGGTTCAGTCACGAGGAGGTCCACACCCGGACTCGCGACGCTTTCAACTGGATGGTCGACAGATATGTCGAATTCCAAAAGGCAGCCAATTTGCGACGCGAACAAAATGGCGTCGAAGAGAGATTGGATCTTGCTGGCATGTGGGCAGAGTACTGGAACGACGGGATGACAAACATGTCAACGCGAACGCATCAATGGGTTGTAGATCGCGTGGATGAAGTTCAAGCACGTGCCTTCGAGCAGTACAAAGAGGCACTCAAAACCGCTGGAACCGACGAAGTAGCTATAGGCGAAGCCGGCAAGAAGTACTACGAGTGTGTCCAAGATCTCAGAGGGATGCTCACCAGACTCGAGTACACGATCGGCGTCCCGATGACCGGTTTCAAGGGCTACACAGCCACCAACGCCTTCACCGACCTCCCCGTAGCCCAACGAAAAAACACCTGGTCCCAAATCATGGGAAGCAAGTCCTTCAAGCACCAGTTAGCCATCTTAGAAGCCGAAGACAAAGCCGCCGCCGACCAAGCCGCCAACCCACCCTCCCTAGCAGAACAAATGGACATAATGGGCCAACTCACCAAGCCAGCCCACCCCCGCTTCCGCGACACCGAGAACCTCCTCGGCCACTACGAGGAAGGCAAGAAGAACCGCGATGAGACCCGCCTCGCCCTCTGCGGTCCACCCAAGCCCGTCGCGCAAGAACATTGGATCACCATCCTACGCGAACGCATGGACTTTTACGCAAAGAACCCACGGAATCTCGAGAGAAATCCCGATGCATGGGGTTTCGTATGCTACCGCCTCACCTATGAGCAAACCGACGAAGAATGGGCTACCTTCGAAGAAAACTTCACCAAAGACGTCATGCGATCTGGGACGTGGATCTCAGGCTTCGACGCTATCAAGAGCAAGGCCAAAATCATGTTCATCGATGGCCGGGAGGCTGGGATCGCGGAAGGCGACATCGCGGCTGCGAAACAGCATTTCAAGCGGACTTTCACCATGCTACCCACGCTAGGTCGTATGTGGACGCAAGATTTCCTCGTCGTGGACAAGCAAGCGTTCAAATCGCATGTCGACCCCCCAACCGAGGAAACAAGACCCCCGCCGCCGTACGGCGCGTCGTGGGGAAGTAATGGCGGGCATGTGCGCCTTGTAGACACAACATTAGACCTGCTTTCCCAGGAGTTCATTGACCAGGTATCGCCGGGATACAGAGGAGAGATGAAGATCTTGTCGAGCCTGCTTCTGGAAGAAGTGTATCCGCTGCTTGCGACGCTGTCTGTCCGTCCATTTGGACTTTGGCCCTGTGCGAGACTGCATCCGAGGGAGGTTTATGTGGGGACTACGGATGCGGCGCAGGAGGGGTGGTGGGAGTTTAGTCGGATTGATCAGAGCTTGATGCAGGGCTTCTTTCAGAGTATGAGGGGGAGGCAGGCGGATTTGAGGGCTAGGGGGAGTTGAGTGGCTGTGGAGGAGTAGGGAGTTTGTCTTGTGTTGCGTTGGCGAGATTTCGCTCATGTTGAGGGTTTCGTAATTACCCCGATAATTCGTTTCACTGTGATGAATTTCGCCTGTCGCATTGCAAAGAAAGATGAAAAGCTGATATAGCTAGAAGTATACATTACATTAGAGACTATCTAGTTTTTGAGACATAGAAGTGTGTATGCAGCAAACCTTAGAATCACGACACCAATCTATGCTGCCTCTAGTGCCTCCCGTCGACGAGGCTTATGCCATCTTTCCGTTATCCAGGCTTTTGTTCCCTTTGTCTTGCCAAACCACCCTTTGTTCGATTTCGCCACTCTTATCACTCGCGCTATATCATACAAAGTCTTTGTACACACTCACCTTTATCCCGATCTAGCACGCATCACCAACATTCGTGAGCCATGGTACCGAAATGCTCATCCTACATCCTCTCACTGCCAGTACGATGACCCAACGACGACGAGCCAAATCCATTTGCAGCGCTCCATGCGACCCCTACGCGAGGAGATACGCTCGGTTGACAAGCATCGCGAGTTCAAGGGTACATGTTCCTCCAAAGATATCTGATGCGAGTCGCGTACGAAACGTGACGATAGCGGATGTTGACGCTGCGTTTGGCAAAGACCACGGTGTTGGGTTGTACCAGAGGAAACCCCCAAATGTCGTGACGACCGAAGTAGCCACGGCGTCTCTCAGAAGCTACACCCCTCCTCCTTCCCAGAAAATATCACGGAAGAGAACCAGAACCGACGTAGACGACCATCCCGGCCCAGACATCACCCCAAATCACAGCCACCACCACCACCACCACCACCAAGCCCCCTCAAAACCCCCTCCACCATACGTACCATACGCACCATTCTATTCCCATCACTCCGAACCCAACCAACCCTCCCAACCCCCACAAAAACGCCAAAAACGCCACATACCCAACTCCTTCTACCCCACCTCCCCCACCGCCCGCTTCGGCATCATACCCGCAACCGCACGCTGTACCCTCGCTCACATCACGCACCTGGGGAAGACAAGCACCGCTATGGGCGTTTGTGTATGTAAACATGTTTCTAGGGTGTGTAGAGGTATTTGTAGGGGTATTCCGGGATATGTGAGGGATGTGCATAGGGCGGGTGTGGTGAGGGGGGTGTTTGAGATGAGGGAATTGAATTTGGCGGGGAGGGGGGAGGATGGGGATGGGGAGGGTGTGAAGGGCAGGGATAAGCAGCGAGGGAAGGGGGTGGGGGATGCTGTTACGAGGAGTGAGAGGAGGGAGGTGGATGAAGGGATGCGGAAGGGAGAGATGGGAGAGATGGGAGAAGAGCGGAGGCGCGGGATGATTTTCACGCCTTTTTCTGATGCGGAGTTGATGGCTTTGCGGTCTCGGAAGCGGGATGCACCGAACGCGAAGACGTCAAACCCATCAAGCCAACCCACGCTACCCACAACCCGCTGTCCCCTCTGCAACCTCGACAGCCCATCAACATCCCCATTCTGCACCACATGTCTAACCCCCTACCCACCCGGTCCGGCACCCAAATCACACGCTCAAGGCATAGTTTCGTATGACAAATCTCCCGACATCTACACCTCAACCATCGACGGCCAACCAGCTACACTCCTTACCTACACATCAAATCAAGACCCCGATGAAGACTATCTCTGTACAGGTGGCGCCGGGCCACCCGGTACCTTAACTCCGTCTGGTACGCACGTGGCAATAACGCCGGACGAACGGCGTCGACTGCTGCGAGCTAGGGAGCAGGCGTGGGAGAATGATAGTTTGAGGGAGGCGAGGGAGCAAGAGCGGCGGGAAATGGCTAGGCAGAATGGGGTGCAGATCCCGGAAGGTAATGCGCCGTACTTTTCGGACGTGCAAGACGAGAATGCGACGAGGAAGGCGTTGAGTCTGGATAGAAATGCTGAAGTGGAAAGGGCGTGGATGTTGAAACTCGCGGGGTACAGAAAAGACGCTGAGGAGGGTAAGGTACCCTTCCCGTTGAACATCCCTGGCTACGAAGTATTGGAGGATGTGGAGGTGACGCGATTAGAAGGAGATGTCGAGGTATGGGATGGCTGGTTGGCTAGTATGGGTTACACCGACATTCTTCCTTCCCCTAAAAGCGATGGAAGCAGTGGCAAGAAGACGCCGCTGGCCTCGAAGCGACTAGCGGCCCGAACGAAACGACTCAAAGCGATCCAGCAACGAGAAGCAGACCGGCAGTACCTCGAACATATCGCGGACCTACAGCGCCAAGCACTTTCCATGGGATATGAGTTCCCTGAAGGTATCCCAGGTTGGGAAGAGGTCCATACCTCGGAGCAACGTCGTATATTATGGGCGGTGTATACAAATCAAGTCAACGCCACGTCGAAGAAGAAGAGGAAAAAGGCGCGACGAGGATCACGGAATTCGAACACCATCACCACTCCCGAGGAGCAGGCCCGAAAAGAACGCTACACGTTCTTGAAAGAGAGACTAGAGCAACCATACTGGGAAGAGCGAGTACGTGAGACCGGAGAGTCGAGAAGCGCCATCTTGCGAGCCGGAGGGAGGTGGCCGGAAGACGCGACATACGAGGATGATAATGATGAGGAGTTGAAGGAGCTGGTGGGTTATATAACAGAATTTTTGGAGCTGAAGGAAGAGTTTGGAGATCAATAGGAGAAATTGTCGGTAGCCGTAAGCAAGCGTTGAGATGATGTCGCTGGTCGTCGCATTGCGCCTTCTCTCCACAATTAGTCATCATCCATCTAGCCAATCAGAAGCCACGGCGTCGACTCATCCTGAGCCGAGCGCCATCCATCTTAGCACCGCGCCCTGCTTGGCCATGTCCTTTTACGTGTATATGAGCAAGAAGGTCGCCGATGCCCAAGACAACCAAACCTGAAGACTGCATTGCAGCGACGACACTGCTAAGCTCAACAGTCGGCAATCCCTCTCACAATGGTACGCAAAGGGAAAGAGGCAGCACCAGCCGCGGAAGAGCATCACGGCGGTGGACACATAACAGTCACGGCGCAGCAATCGCGGTACGCAGTCGATTCTGTCGATGCACCTGCGTCAAAAGAGGTTAGCAGGCAGCCGAGCCCTCTCACATACACCATATTGAACCATGTAGATACTAGTCAAAGACCTGTCCATCACAGTCGCCAACCGAGAACTACTATCACGTACGACGCTTCACCTGGTAGAAGCACGCCACTATGTAATGGTAGGTCGGAACGGAACAGGAAAATCAACACTCCTCAAAGCCATCGCCGATGGTCTGGTTCCGGGTATACCATGGAGTACGCGCATTCTCCTTCTAGGTCAGACGAGAGAGGACGACTTGGGAGATGAGATGACTGCGTTGAGCCTGGAGAGCGAGACTGTCCTGCAGCATGTTGTCCGGAGTGATCGGGTTCGAGAGCGCTACGTGCGAGAAGCGAAATTGCTTAGTGAGGCGGTCGAGAACTCTGTTGATTCCATGGCACCGGTTCAGGCGTACAGGCGTATTGGGCATGAAAGATTAGGTTTGCAATTGAGAGAGGGTCATCGGATTGCTGAGAGGAGGAGTGGTGCTCGGGGCAAAGCAGCCAGGAAGGAGCTGATTAAGCTTGAAGAGCGCTTCGAAGAATCTGAGAAGCGGCTGCAAGAGACCGAGATCGATGCCACGAAGCTCAGCGAAGAGACACAAGCAGCTGCGGATTTGCTTGCTGGCGTGCAAGCATCTCTCGAACTCATGGATGCAGCTGAGGCAGAAGCAAAAGCGCGCGTGGTTTTGCTAGGCCTTGGCTTCAAGGTGGATCGCATCGACAGGCCCGTGTCGGAACTATCAGGAGGATGGAAGACGCGGTGCGATCTAGCTTGTGCTCTCACACAGTATGCGGACGTACTACTTCTGGACGAGCCCACCAACTTCCTAGACTTGCCGTCAATTATCTGGCTACAAGACTATATCCGCAATCTCAAAGGCACGACTGTCCTCATAACGACCCATGATCGCGACTTTGGAGACGCGGTAGCCGAAGAGCTCATTGTCCTCCGCAACCAGGTTCTCGAGACTTTCCGCGGTAACCTCAGTCTGTACGAGCGCGAAAGATGGAAGAAGGTCAGGTACATGACTAAGATGAAGGATGCCCAGGACAAGCAGAAGAAGCACATTGAGAAGACCATCGCAGGCAACATCAAGGCCGCCAAGGACAAGGGAGACGACAAGAAATTGAAACAGGCTGCGTCTCGGAAGAAAAAGCTTGATGATAGAATGGGGCTGCAGGTCAGTGCCAAAGGTGGTCGCTTCAAGCTGAACCGCGATCTCGCAGGCTATCACACGACGCAGCGGGCGGAGATTGAGATACCTGATTTTGATCCCCCAGTGCACCTCTCCTTCCCACACCAGCCGGCCGAGTTGAAGTTTCCCGGGGCACTGGTAAGTATAGAGAAGGTGTCATTTGCATACCCTGGGCGAAAGAAATTGCCCATCTTGACCGACGTCAGTCTGACCATACATCCGAGGGACCGGGTAGGTTTAGCAGGCCTGAACGGTTCAGGGAAGACGACGCTGGTCTCCATAATAATGGGCGGTGATAGCGAGGGCGGTCTCAAGCCCACATCTGGCAGTGTCGCGCGCCATGCAAGGGTGAAGATTGGCCGCTTCTCGCAGCAGTCGGTCGAAGAGCTCACTGCGACCGCGGCTGCCAACCCTCAGACGACAGCGCTCCGGCACGTGATGGAAAGTATTGGCGAGGGCGCACAGGAGAAGGATGCGCGGACAGTGCTGGGTGGACTGGGACTCCATGGCCAGACGGTGTCGGATGTTCCGCTCGTGCTCCTGTCGGGAGGGCAGAAGGTCAGGGTCGCACTTGCCAAGTTGCTATGGCCGCCGCCGCAACTGCTCATTCTCGACGAGGTGACGACGCACCTGGACGCTGATACTATTTTGGGTCTCGTGATGGCGCTGCGAGAGTACGATGGAGCGCTGCTGGTAGTGACACACGACCGGTTCTTCATGAGGTGAGATTATTGCAGTCAATAAATAGAGTTCTTACTAACACCCCGCAGAACGGTGGTGCAGAGGGAGTCGGCGTACAAGCTAGCGCCAGGGGTTCACGCGTCCGAGGGCGAGGCTGACGACAGCAGCGAGTCGGAGGATGAAGCGCCAGGGTTAGCTCCGGGGAACGTTTTTCGGCTGACTAGAGGGCAGCTCAGGAAGCTTGACGGCGGCATGGACGAGTATGAGGACATTGCGGCGCGGACAGCGGCGAGGCTGGCCAGGGCGGAAAGTAAGTAGAGCCAAAATAGACGCGAGTGCAATTTGTGCGTCGCGTCCAGAGTCCGTAGAGTCCTGTCAGACAGGTCGGGCCCTTTGGTTCGGGCGGGCTGGCTTCCCGCTGCACGCACGGCTGACTGCGCGCCTCCTGCGCGCGCATCATAGTGCCCGGCAGAGGCATTAGGGGCAGCTTTTCGCGCCAAGCCGCAGCGAGATAATATTGCTCCAACGAACGCGTCGCTCCTTTTGCCTGCAGCGTCCAATTGGTCTCCTCTCATTAGCCATTGGCGTGCACTATGCCCATCTTTCCTTGTATACTACCCCTTCTGACCGTAATAGTAATGTCATAGCTGCAGCTATAATCCTTCTACCCAAGGCACGCATGAACGACTCTGCGTATCGAGATAAGCTCGAGCTTGGGAACCCTGAGTAATAATATCTGCAAGCCATCATGGGCGAAACCGAATCGTCCACACCGCGCTCCACCGCCGAACCACAGCTCAAGGCGGCCAAGGACAAGAACTGTCCCTTTTGCGGCCAGGCCTTCACCTCGTCCAGCCTGGGACGCCATCTGGACCTGTACATCCGCCCCAAGAATCCAAAGGCGCCCGATGGCGTACACAATGTCGACGAGATACGGAAGCTGCGCGGCGGCATCACACGGCGGCAGGCCAAGGGCAGCGTGTCAACACCGCGGAGAGATGACAGCGGCACGAGCACGCCCGCGAACAAGAAGCGCATAGCGAGCGAGGATTCGGTCCTCGTGCAGAGCCCGGAAGACGACGATGAGCCGCTCGAGGTGGGCAAGACGAGGGGGCAGTTCAAGGATGTCAGCTGGGGAAGCGGCCACCGGCCCTCACGACTCAACACCAAAACACCAGACCCACGCCGGGACGTATCGCGGCAGTCGCGAAAGGCCGAGCTGGACCAGAGGCAGAAGTCGAATGAGGAGACTGAGATTGCGAGTGCCACCGAGATGACACTGCGGGAGCTGCTGAAGAGTGTGCAAGTAGCCAAGTATGTCCTCAATTCACTCACCATATATCCTGCTAACAGAGACAGCGCAAAAGCATCCGGCTCCGGCCTCTTCGAATTCGACCCCTACACCCAGAGCTTCCCCTCGCTGTGCCTTCAGATCCTCCCCGCGCCCTCTACCCTCTTCTCCCCCACGCCCTTTCCCACGTCCGAGTCATGGTCCATCACCCCGCCGGGACAGAAGCAGTTCGAAGCGCTGAATAAGCAGGTTCGCGAGCGTCTGCTTGCCTACCAGCGCCAGCGCCAGATCAACCAGGTCTATCCCTCGGGCTCGCACTCCTCTGCTCCTTCCACCACCACCTCGCCCCTGCCCACCCCACCGCTCTTCGACCACGACCCCCAACGCCTCTTTGGGCACATTGCAGACGCCTTCCACCACTGGACACAGCAGTCAGATAAGACGAGGCAGGAGTGCTGGCAGGTTGAGATACTGCGCTGCTATGCCCGTGCCGACGACAGGCGACGGGAAGCCGAGGTGCAGCTGGGGAACGCACGCAGGGAGATTGAATACCTGAAAGCCAACCGCTGGACCTCAGGCGCTCCCGATGTATCGCCTATCAGCATCAATCTTGGTACCGACACGGCTAGGGAGCTTGCTAAGCACGGCATGGACTACCGCAACTGGGACTACGACCGCCTCATCGACAAGTGGCGGACCGCTATACGCGAGAATAGGGCCTCGGTCTCCGGTATGGGCGCGCAAAAGCCATTGCCCGGTGGTACCAGTACCAGAAGCTGCTCCATGGCTAGCATCCCACCACAATTCGCTACTGTGAACCAGCCCAGGCAAGGCAGCCCGATCAAGGTGGAGTCCAACATGCCCTTTAGCGCGCCGCCCACCGTCTGTGGTGATGGAGACTGCGATCAGGTTGATGCGGAAGGCGACGATGACGACGACGACATTGACCTGACGCCCCAAACCATTGAGGAGGACGACTCGATGCATCAGATGCAGCACCAGGCCCAACAACAGGCCTTGCACCACCCCCAGCCCCAACATCACCACGGAGCACCCCTCCAGCCCACCCCGCCGCATCCTTCGCAACAGTTTCAGCCACACATGCAACCCACCCAGCACATCACGCAAGCCCAGATTGCCCAAGCGCAGGCTCAAGCCCAAGCATGGGCAGCCGCACGCCAGCACATGAACCAGTCGCGCAACCAAGACTTCCGGCCCCACCAGCAGCACCAGCTCTCGCCCCATGTGCAGCACGTCGGCTCAGCTGACAGCAGTCGCCGAGAATCGCTAGCCATGATGGACCCGCACGCCATGAACCAAAACAACATGAGCGGCATGGGCAACTCCATGGGCATGTCAAGCGGCATGGACGGCCTCGACAGCCACCAAGACCAATTCCTGCGCATGGACATGGGCATGTCAACGGGCTTTGTCGGCTCCAACGACCCCAGCGTCTCGATGGGTTGATCGAACTCTCGAAACTGTTTGATGCTGTTTATAGAACAGCAGAAATTGTCACCACAAACCGGCGTCGGACTCTTCGGGCAAAGGCGTAACGTGATACACGGAACGCGATACACGGAACAGTCCACACTCTACTGCGATATTTCCCTTTTCTCCATTTCCGACATATCTCATATCTACCGCAAATTTTCGTTTGTCGTTTCTTATCTTTCTAGCTACTACTACTCAGCTCGGCTTTTCGCTATACCCATTATACCCAGCCTTGACAGCTTGATACCCCCAGTTCAATTTCCTTTATCAATAACAGAACGGTACTTTTACTTACCGCAACATCTCTTACACATATATACGTACTAATAAGCCTCTTCTTTTTCCTCTTGTCCTTTTTTGTACTCAGCATCGAGATTGTTATCAGCATCGTTCTTGTTTTTCCTATGTAGATGTCTACACAAATATGCCTTCGTTGGCACTGGCGGGCAAATGTCGTTGTTGCACCGTATCTTGGGAGGTCTTTTGTGCTGTTTCAAGTTGTATATACCCAACACCAAACTTTTCACTTGTTAGATATTAGAGAAATATGGGGGGATAGGATAGGATGGGGGGTGGAGTGGGTGGAAGAATCGAATATACTAAAATCTTTGAATGTGTCTATTCTTTTGGCTTGGGGCTATGGAGATTTCGCGTGTACTGCTAATGTCGCACAGAACGGGATGAGATATTCAGAATGCAGCCGCCATTTACCGCCAACGCGGAGCAGTTTGAACGAATTCGACAACAAAGCTAAGATGGCGCCCGAATTCTTCATCAACATCATCCACTCTAGGTGGACACAGATGCCACCTTCATACTTCCGACGCGAATAGCTCAGTCGAACGACGACATCCAGAATCAAAACAAGCCCCACGCATTCATCCTGAGTCCGTCAACAGTAAAGCCGTCACGTACAAGAAGATAAGCCCTGTGACGAAGACCAAGATGGCCGCCAGCATACCCACCCTCATCTCAGCACAACAGGTGGTCTAGCTGCCTTGATACGGAGTCAGCGGTCTTCATTGCTGCATCGCGTAAATCAGGTAAATTGGTAATAATGTAGCGGAGTCGTCTTCTACGGCAGCGTCGTTTCCCGTCTGCGCAGAGGGTGAGGCGGAGGGTTGATCGGGCGTAGAGGATGCGTTTGCGGAAATGTGCGAGGGGGACCATGGTGGTATGGAGCGTGTAGAGGCAGTGGGGAAATGTGGAAGGGTAGAGTAGGGGAGAGTTGGTGGATGGGAAGGCAGCTAACATCTGAAATAGATAGGTGAGGCCTTGCACTTATTTGCTGGGTGCGTGGAGAAGCGGCTGGGTATTGCATGTGATGTGAGACGTGGACCGGTGACGAAGGCACCGGAATGATGGGCTGGTGATACAAACTGCTGAATGGAAGTCGCTGATCGTTGTTATAGTTGGAGCGACATACTTTACCGCTGGTCCATCTCAACTGGGTTGACATCAGAATTGGAGAACTTGACGGCATGTCCGGAGCGCCGCGCGGACGAGGTGGAAACCGGGGAAACAGCAATGACCGGAGAGCAAGAAGTTCCACTGACTTCGGCTTCCGTGAAATAGGTAGAGGAAACTTCAATAACACTTGGACTGGTGGAGCATTCAATACTTCCCAGGGTGGAAGGGGTAGAGGAGTTGGCAACGGCCTTCCGATCAGAGGCATGGGACGCGGTATTAGGAGAGGAGAGCCCTCATCCGTTCCAGAACAAAATGCACAGATCGAGGACTGGTTCAAAGATAACCCGCACATAATACCCACGGAACCAAAAGCCGACAGACTGGCAAAGAGTCGGCAACCAGAAACTGACCCCGTTCCACAACAAGACACGCGTACCGAGAACGACGGGATCAGAGATAACCAACAATCAACACCCACGGAACCCAAAGCTGACAGACTGGCAAGGAGTCGGCAAGCAGACACCAAGCTCGTTTCCAAACAAGCTGCACGTCCCAAGAACGACTGGATCAAGGAGGACCAACAACTCATACCTACGGAACCCAAAGCTGACAGACTGGCTAGGAATCGGCAGGCAGAAGCCAGGTTCGTTCCAGAACAGGATGCACGTCCCGAGGACGAACGGTTCAAGGGAAACCAACACCGAATACCCACAGGGCCACGGGCTGACAGACTGGCGAAGAGGCGGCAAACAGAAATTGAACGAGATCTTTACAGAGATGCCGCAAGAAGGGCATACGTGCTGCTACGTCCCACACCGAAGCACCCACGCCGGGACAGCATCCACGCACGTCCTATCCCAACACACAGTCGTTCACGCTCACCCGAAGAAGAACGAGAATTTCTCTCTTCTTTCCCTCCACTTCCCCCATCACCAGCAGCGAACCCACGTCCACCGCCGCTGAACCAACCACCAACATCTGTCACCCCATCTGCCGCTCCATCTGCCAGACCTGCTGGGAGAGTAGCGTGTTCGACCAATCCTACGGAGAGGACGTTTCGCAAAGTAAGCGCGAACTCCTTGTCGACTCCATCGGCTTCATCGGAGGGTGATGATGGCAATGTCTACGATCCAAACAAGACTGAAGAGGAGAAAGAGAAGATACGGCAGGAAATCAATGAGCATAATAGGGGCCTGCTGGTCCCGCCATGGTCCGGTCCAAACCTGGGCGATGCGATGCAGGACATTCAGCGTGGTTAGATCGGTATCTCATACGTTGTTTCCAGTGGAATTGGATTAAGCCTTCTCGTCATACCTAGGTATAAAGATAATCACGTCTCTCGCGAGTGTCTGAGCTCTTGCAATGTTGATAAGGAAGGCACTGCGCCGATAAGTGAAGGTCACCGAAATGTGCCTTCCTCATCGTTGGGGGTGACTGCCCCTTCAACAACTCCATGACAGCATTTTCCTCATTCGGCTCATGACGTCCGAAACTTACGATGGCAGCTCATCTGCACCTTCCGCAATGGACGACAACCGTTTCAACCCACACGAAGTCACTTCCGCATTTCCGCCTTCACCTCTTCTACATTACTGTTACCGCCGTGCATCACTCAGCGTACGACATTCTCGCAAACAGTTCCTCCAAATTCACACAGCATGACGGCTACCACTACAGAACAGACAACTACTACCACCAATAGCAAGCATGGAACGGCGAAGAAGTGGCTGCAACGGCATCTGCGCAAAGTGGCATCGCGACAGACCTTGAAGAACGATGAGGGACCAATTGAGATACGGCGAAAACCATCAGTCAGGCGGCCGCGTACGGCACCTTCAACAGGAGCGACACCGAGCCTGCAAGACGCGCCAGCAGTACCCCCGCTCCCGATACTTGTAGAGCGGGTGTCGCCTCGACCGCCGGTTCTACCTCCTCTTCGCCCAGCGAGACCTGATTCTGGCGTGAGACGGGACGTCAATGCATGGCTCGATGCTAGCATGAACACGCCTTCACCCCCGCTCATGGGAGGCCTTTCGTATTGGAGAGCAGCGACAAATGTAGGAGCCAAAGACTCAGCCGTGGCTCAGCATGCTATTCCCGTGATTGGAGCACCCGATGTCGTCAGACCATCCACAGCCACCAGTCAACACGGAAAGTCGTTCCTTCGTTGCGCCAAAAAGATGCAGGTTCAGATGCCTTCGCTTTTACGAACCAAGTCTCAGCGCCAGGCATGTCGGAAGCAAATCAACAGACAGTCAGCATCGATGCCACTCTTAGCTATTTCCTACGAGGACGTTGCGGAAGCCCCTGGTACCATGCTCATGTCCCGATCTGGATCGCTTCGTCGCCCCGTCACAAGGCCATCGACACGACATCCTTCGACGCGCGCCAGTGCGCTTCTGTCAATCGACCAACAGTCGCAGCTACCCTCCCGGATGGGCACGCCAGCGAGTGCACGACTCGGCGATACAGAGAGCGTCTTTGAGCGCCGTCTCAATGCCATATTTATGCGCACGGCACGAAGCGCAGACAGTACCCGGCCATCGACAGCAGCGGCCGGTCTCATCCGCGAAGACTCGATGGGCGACCTTTCCGATGCCCCGACATACTTCTCGGGACCTCCACCGCCTTCTTACCGGTCGCGCCCTGAGTCTCTGCTCAGCACTTCTTCTTTCGGCTGCATCGATGGCATGAACCCTACACAACGACAGATCAGTCAGCAGCGAGCGGCACTACAACGGGGAATGAGGTGCAAGCTGAAGAGATTCGCTCAAGGACTTGCAACATGAGAGCGAGGTGAAGGCAGCAGCAAACGACTTGTACAGGGTGGAATACGAGACCACGATGATGACTGAAGAAGGGATGACGGGAAGACATATACTATATACGAGTACATGACTATACGACTGTTTACCTTGGAGAGCTGGCATCTTCATACCCATAACAGGGAGGTTCATTCTGTCAGTCGGTACACTGAGGGATGCGCAGGCGCGCGGTATTTAGCACAACTGCATCAGATATAACGTAGGGCCTTAGTTTATAATAAATAATGCAGATACAGCACAGGATGTGTCGTGAAGTGATGTTGGAATGCGCGGTAGTGAAGAGGTGAGAGCACGGTCATATGACGTGGGGACGGGCCGCGGTGAACCTAAAGCGGTTGGGGCGTTTTCACCGCCTACTCATTTGATGGCCGGGCATGGACTCCACCATCTCCATCAACATCATTGGGCCCAACGTGGCACGCTGTACTACGTCTAACGCTCCAACGCACACAATTGAATCTCCATGGCCGCCCGTTGATCCGCTCGCCTGCCAGCACAACGAAACCCAGCTGGCTGCTCCACTCGACTCCCACGATCCGCAGACTTGCATCATTACGTGCAGCTCCCACAGCCAAACGGCTCCCCGACCTCACCTCCCTCGACACGCCGCGCGCCCGCGTAGGCGAACGTAAGCATGGCCTCGGCAGACGACTCTAATTCGCGGCCCCAGAGGCCAGCCGCCATGACCAGACAGTCGTCGTCGCAGTCGCACATCTCGCAGTCGCCGTCCGAGGGCGCCCAGCGCTCAGCCCATCACAAGAGCCAGCGCCATCATGTCGTCGGCCAACGCGTGCAGCGGAATACGTCCTTCGGCAAGAACCTCAACAAGCTGAGCAAAGCCGAGAAGCAGGCCCAGCAGGCGCTCCAGGGCGCAGAAAACACCGGGCGACACCACCGCCGCTCGCAGTCGGGCAATTCCATTTCGGCGCCCAGCAGCCCACACGCGCGTCCCGGAATGAAGCGCCATGCGTCTTCCGGCGCCGTTGTGAGAGCAAACACGCAGCAAGCGAATCTGCGCAAAAACCACTCGAGCGGCCATCTCCCGCCGCGGCAAGGGCATGCGAAACACGCGCTCAAGGGGTCCAAGAACGAGAACGCTACTTCCAAGCGTGCGCTCGCGACTCCCTCTCGGTCTCGGCAAAGTTCTCCGGAGCCACACGCCGCGGTCCACTTTGACATGCCCAATGACGACGAGGAAGGAGACGAGGGCGGGTGGACCGAAGAGAGTGCGTCACAGTCGCCCACTACTACCCGATCCAACACGCGCTCCAACTCGGTCATACTCGAGGCACAACACAGAGCGGCGGAGATCAACATGGAGAAGAATAGAGGAGAGCCGCAACAGTCGGCTGGTATAGTTCGAGAAGCGCCCAGCCAGGCGACTCAAACGCTCACCGACCGCACGCGCACAAACACGCAGGTCAACGGCGGGAGCTCCTATCAACATTCTCGGCCTCCAGATGCTGATATGATCACATCGCGACTACTACAGCGCAGCGCCTCACACCATGTTGCTCCTCAGACATCGTCAGTCGCTGCGACCGTCGTATCCTCCTCCGATCGTCATAATCTGCTCAGTCACACAGCTGGGTCTGTTGGATCTACCTTGGTCGACACACCGGGGCACAACCTGGTGTCGCGCTTCATGGACGGAGATGGTTCTGCTGGGACACCTCACGATGGCGAGTACATGGCTGCGCATCAGCTCAAAGACGACACCGATGAAGGGGAGGTGGACAAGATCAAGCGCAACAAGTCCATGCCAAACTTCAAGGGCGGCGCGGACACACCCTCCAAGACGCCTCAGCGCTCTGGCACGACCACGCCAACCAACCTACCCCCATCGCGGACACAGCAGAAGCTCATGCTTCAACGTGCGTCGTCCAACATTGAACCGCAGAAGCTCGTTCCCGTAACGCTACCCCGCACGGGCGGTCCCACATACCTTCAGTCCAGCATCCACTACAATGGCAATGGGGAGGGGCGTCTAGATCCACGCCTGCAGCAGCAGTTCAACCACGTCGCGGTTGAGTACAATGTCGTGCGAAGATACCGCAACCCAATTGCAGACGCGCTCGCAAGAATCTACCAAACGCCTGGCATGTCACGCAAAATCCGCGTACCCAAGTCGCACGGCGCAAACGGCTTCACGACAGGAGCCAGCAGCCTGAGCACAAGTTTCAACGAAAGCGGCGTCGAAACAGATGGGACGGGCTCGCGGAGATCACGAGTCAGTTTCGACCATGATGCAGGTCGCGGCAAGACTAGTCGCGACGAGAACGACTTCCAACAGAGTTTCGAGAGTGACCAGGCGCGCAGCCGAAACGAAGCCGAGGAGATCTGTCGCCGTTTATGGGAGAGTGCCGAAGTAGTCGAAGCCGACTGAAGACAATAGTGTGGTTTGTTTGGCGCACGGCGCTGATCAAACATTCACGACTCGCAGCGCGGCGCCTCTGTTTGCGTCTTTGCGACTATTGTGTGAGGGGATTGCCGAGACTGTTTTACTGTGCAGGTTCGTGCGTTCGCTTGCTTCCCTTTCTCTGCATTTTGCCGTAGTCTGCGCTGGGGGATGAGGGAATGAGCGTCTTTGTTCTCCCATCGTGGATTGCACACACGGGTTGCTATGGCGCAAGGGGGCTTTGTCTAGTCTGGCTGGAAACAGCATGGTGTTGGGGAAGAGGGCATTTGCGAATATTGTCGCGCCGGCAATGAAGCCGAAGAGACATGCATCAAGTCGTGGTGGTGGTGGTCGTTGCTGTTGCTGCATTTGCATTTTGCGCTCAAACTAACTTTTTGCGCGTGGCACAGAGTCGTGGTTCCCCGTCCTAAACCTTGCGACTGGCGGAGGGGCGTTGGCATGACACGACACAACACACGACCGTTGGTTCGATCGAGGAAACGAAAGCGAGTGCGATGGTTGAGATGATTTCTTGTCAAATTTGCGCGCGCGCGCACCCTCGATTTCAATCTGCGCCGTCCGACCGAATTGCAAGCATGCGAGCCTCCTAGGTCGCATTGCACAGGCGCGCACTTGCTTGGCCTGGTTTGCTTTCATTTGAGAAAGAGCGGAAGTTAGGAGCTGGATTTGCAATGGCGCTTCAATGCGATGGATGGGTCACGATGCGAAAGGCGGAAATGAGACAAGAAAGAAGCCCATATTGTGTACTAGTAATGGTAGGGGTAGTGTGCGGGCTAGGTAGGGAGCCAATCATGCGCCATGCTCGCTTGTGTAATTGTAATTTCAATCTTGCAGCGCGGAGATCGTTACTTGTTCCTGTGTGTCACTGTCAGTGGGTTGGTTTTTTGATTTTCCTCACGATACATGCGAGTTTGCATTGATGGGGATGTGTTGGCGAGCGCATCTGGACGCTTCACATGCTGCTGTGAAGATTACTTTGAGTCACAAGATGCAATTGCGTGCATATGTTGGGCAGTACTACGCAAGCAAAACTCTTTGCAAGAAATTCTCTACACAGTTCCACACCACCATCATAGCAATTCTCTCCATCGCTTCGTTGTACCGTACCGTCTCTTCCGCGTCCAGCACAGCGCGCCAAGGTGTCCAGGCAACAATAGCCTCGTCTTGCCGCCGACCACGTTGTTAACCTCACCCCGAGGGCTATAGATGGGTATAGATGGGATGGGTCTGAGACGAAGGGCGCTGGTTGGCTGATGGTGTTACTCAGAACACATGTCGCAACGGGTAGCGTGCCACGAGTGCGCGAGCTGAGAAAGGTGCGGTGTAATAGCTAGACGAGATTTGTCGTGCTGGCTCCAGTCACGTTCGCCCCGGTGTACAGCGTCCAGCAGTCGGTCGTGCTGGCCTAGCTGCCTCCAGTCGCGTTTCCGCCTTGGAGGCCGAACAGACGCCTCGATTCGCTGCGCATTGTTTCAGCGTCCGTGCTTTGAGGCGCGACACTGTGGACTCAGGCTACTCGGGCTGGAGAGGAACGTGGAACGCATGGGGTGAGAGAAGTTGCCTGGGGTGATGGGCGTTGAAACTTGGTCTTGAGCATGGTGAGGATCATGGGGCGTGAACCTTGAGTTCGCAGATGGGCGATGACAGCATCTCACCTGGGCAGCGACTTTCCCAAGGTTGCCCCTAGCGATTGGAGTGAGAAGTGAGGTCACCACCCGCCCGTCACGAGGATGCAGCAAGCGTGCAGCACGTTGGCCATAGAGTGGGTACCTCGGTAGTTCAGGCCCAGCGCTGCACCTCAGGCCAACCACAGGAGCGCGCGCGGACAGGGATGCAGTGCAGAGATTTGCCGTGGGCCCCATTGCCAAGCGCCAGATCGGCAGCTTCCTTGCTCAGGTACTCCCGTTAGCACGCCCGAACCTGCGTTAGCGCGCCCAGGGGGACCGAAATTGCGCTTTGGCAGTGGGAAATTGCACTGGCGGCAAGGATGCTAGGAACACGATACAAGGCGCCGGGGGCGGCCCACCTTGCCCTCCCTGCCTTGCCCGTTGTTTCCCCTTCACCCTCCTCAAACGTTGCGAGACAAACCCTCTTTTACTCTCTCTCATCCTCGAGACTCACGATCTTTTAAAGCTTTAGGCTTACCCACACTCATTACATTGACAAGTACTATCCTTGATATCTCACTCTCTCTATCACTTGGTCCAAGACTATCCACACTGCTCTCTCGCATTCCAAACAAAAACAAAGCACTGTCGCTCATCTTAAACGCACCTGCATAACACTTGCAACCCTCACTTCTTCTGATTCGACATCGAAGCACTGCGCATTCACAGTCGCATATCCAACCACCACAACAACCACCTTCCTTCACCACCAACCACCAAATCAACCACCAAAATGCGCTCCTTCACCCAAATCATCACCGCGCTCTTCGCGCTCCTCGTCTGCGCCTTCGCCCAGGAAGACCAGTACGACGCCACCGTCTACATCACCTCGACCGTCTACCGCGTCAACACCGTCACGGCGTCCTCGTCATCCCCCGCCGGCTACACCGCCGCAAACAGCACCAGCACCATCTCCGCCACGCACCCCACCATCGTCCCCTCGTACAACGCCGGCAACACCACCGCCAGCATGGCCATGCCCACTGCCTCCGGCCCCATGGCCAGCGCCTCCGCTTCCATGCCCCCTCAATTCGAGGGCGCTGCTTCGTCGCTCCAGATCAACGGGATGGTTGTTGCGCTCGCGGCTGGTGTCGGGTACCTCGTTCTATGAACGTGAGAGAAATGGTTTTTCGCCATCAGAGACTGGCAGCGCATGTCTTTGATTTCAACCCAAACCCTTTTCTCATGTTACATCGTTTTCTAAACAACCCATATCACGAGGATGTATGTCCGTTTACGTCTTGTCTTGCGCCTTTGCATCATACCCCCTTTTTACTTTCCCTGGACTTGTCCACGGGACCTTTGTTCTACATTCACGTTTCTAGGATTACCCGAATCCTCCCGTCACATTACCCACACACTCCTTTGTAATCACACTATCTTTCTCTTGTCTGCGACGATTGACGAAACTTCGTGGGATTATACCAACAACTACTGGGTAATACTGGAGCTTTGGAATCTTGTCTTTGTTTGTAGTCGACCAACATTTTCCTTTTTGTTACGTTGGTTCGACTCTGTTTTGTTATACCCCCCTTTTAGGCGCGCGATCAGGACGCTGCTATGCGAATGCGATATCTCATCACACGACACACGTACTACTTGGAGGTCCCATACTTTGTACCTGGTTGACCGCGGCTTGCCGCGCACCTCTTCGTTTGTACTGTGTGTCTGTCTTCGCTTGATTTCTCTGCGCGGTCTCTATGATTTGCGGCTGCCTTCTTCTCTGGTGGAGCTGGAGTTTGGTGATACCCCGATACCTACTTTTTTTGAGAGTGCGATTTAGCTTGGTGTTTTTGTTTGAGAGAGTGGAGGAGATGATAGGATAGGATAGTATAGTTGAGAATGAAGAACTTACTTGTTCCATCGATTTGACTCTTTCTTCATCAATGTGATCACATGCTTCCCAGAAAAAAGTACATCGTGATCCCAGAATTCCCGTATCTTCACCGCCTATCCTTCACCTCAACTCACCTACTCCCCAACCGACCACAGCATCAATCTCCCATCCTCCTATCCGCTCGGCACCCATAGCCGAACACCTCCCCACAGTCTCGCTTCTAGACCTCCGTGCCCTGGTGCTAGCAATCGTCTAGCTCATGCTTTGTCCACTCTTTCTTTCTTTCGGTCGCTGCCGTAATAGCGATCGACATGTTCGGCTGTTTTTCTCTTTGACCGTCTCGGAACCGCGAACTATTCGGTGATATCCGGTTTACGGTGGGTACGGTCGCTTTCGTGATTGAGTCGAAATGGGGCTGTCGGAAGTGGGTTGGCATGATGGAGTGGGGAGATGAGGGTTGGTGATGATTGTGGGTAGGTAAATGCGGTTGGATGTAGTTTTGGCAGTTGCGATGGAGGCACGCTGATGGCATTGCTTGCGCAATAGAGACTGAAAGAGAGGTTTCTAAGTTGTTTCGTATATGTTGCAATGTAAGTTTGCAGTAGTCTATCGTATGGACTGTCCTGCTGGATTGACGACTAGTCGCACGTGCTCAGTTTGGCGACGGGCATGGAAACAAGAGGCCTTCGAGGGAGTTCTCGATCTATTATATTGGGTTCCTGGAGTTTTGCACTGTCTTCAGTTCTGATTTCGTGTGTCTTTGCACATGCCAATTCGCTTTTTGGAAACATGTTCCCTTCCCACACACCCCCTCCCGTCCCCAACAATCACCGATAACTCCCCCCCACCGGCCCCTCCAACCCAAAACAACTCGCAAAATAACTCACAGTCCCCGCCCAATCCGTAAAAAGCCCCTTGACCCCCACCTCCCTAACCAGCACATCCAACACCTCATAATACTGTCCATCATGATCCACCACATCCGCAATGCTCGCAAAATAATACTCCGCATCCCTCTTCACATTCGCCAACGGCCCGCTCCTTTCAAACGTCCAAGCAATAATGTCCATTCCATTCGCCTTAATCGCTTTCGCGTACTCGCTTTCCACAATCGTGTTGTTATCCGATCCGCCGATGGAGAGCAGCATGGGGAGGGAAGGCGCGATGATATTCACGCCCGCAGCGCGCGCGTCGGATAGATTCGCAAACCCAGCCGCAAGATCAGCCGGCGTATCAAACTCCTGCAAATACACAGCCTGAGCACCAAACTCCTCATCATTGTTAATCCAATACACCACATCCTCAAACAAGAAACTCTGCGGCCACACGCGATCCGCACTTATCCCCTTCAGACGGAACGCAGATATCATGTCGGACGCGTATTGAGCCTGAGTGTAGTTTCCCTGGAAAGGCATGGGGACTGCGGAAGGGGGGGTTTTTAACTCGGGAGTGAAGTTGCGGTAGCCGGGGTAGGAGTCTACGAGGTCGATGTATGCGTTTAGAGTGAGGGTCTGTGCGCAGGTGTCGTAGAGTTCTGTGCGCCAGAGGGGGGTGCCGGCTTGGTAGGTGAGCGGGGTTGTGGCGGAGGCGTTGAAGCCGTCTTGTTTGCTGCAGAGGGTGGTGACTTTGTTTTGTTAGTAGAGGTTGGGGGTTCGGGTTGTTGAGGTGGAGGTGAGATCATACATTCATCGATCGTAATGTCGGAGGTACAGCATAACGCATTCGCAGGACTCGTTGCATTCGCTGGTGTGAATGGCGTGGTACATTTTGCTGCTAATTCGGGCCTGAGCAGGATATCTGTTGTTCGGTGTAGATCGCATAGATCGTGTCTGCACACCAATCCCCTGTCGCTTGTGAATGCCACATCGCATTCCAAGATACCGGCGCCCATTCGCGCACCGGCATCTTGAGACCGGATCGACTCTTCTGGGAATTGGAGTGTGCCTCCTCCGCGGTGACCGATTGTGAATGGGGAGATAGAAACCGGAGTATTCTCACACGACTGCAGTTTCCGCTTCAACGGACTATCAGTCATATTGCTGATGATGTAGTACGGTCGCGGCCCGACAGAAACGAGATAATCCGTCGCATTTTCCAGAGGCGTATGATGGTGCTTGCTAACAGCCGGGTAACCCAGAGCTGTAGCAGCGAGACCCAGTACCAGGAATTGGCTCATATTATTGACGAATAGAAAGTGACTTCTTGTAGGAACAAAAGGACGAGAAGAAACCAACACACCACCCCTCAATCCCAGCCAAAGTCATCCATCTTTTATACCCAACGTCGTCAGCCTACGCTCGCTAACCAACGATCCCCTACGTCAACAACGCGCCCAATCCACAACCCTAGCCATAAGCTGCAGGAACGGACGCGTACTAGCCATCCATCTATCCCATGTGCGCGGCACGTAGTGGGATATACCCCAGTCGCCAAAGCTTGGTAAAAGCTTGCGTGAGCTTCATCAGCGTGAGAAAAGCTTAGTTACGTCAAGAACGGTGTGCAAAGCGGAAGACACCGACAGGTTGCAGTCACACGTGGGCAGGATAGGCGGGTGTCGTTCAACGCGCGCGCAGGTGTAATCGGTTGGGATTGCGCCAATCGATTAGCGCATGTGGGGCGGGGCGCATGCGCGTGGGTTGGTGCGTCCCCGCGTGGTAACCCGCGAACGACGATACGGTATGCGAAGAGGGATCGGTCTGGTGCGACGGCGATTGTGGTCATATGTTTTAAATTCAGGACTCGAAATGGAAGACAAGCACATGGCCGACCAAGCCGTTCATAGGCTTTGTCTAAAAGGCAAGTCTGATAGCACATTACGGAATCTAGTCAACTACCCAACTCTTCCATCCTATCAACCTACTTCTCCAACCTCGCAGCCCTACTCTCATCCCTCCACCACTCGCATTGACGCCTCCTAATCGCATCTCCTTCAACCCTACTATTCCCAAAAGCCTCCATCCTCAACTGCAACCCCGGCCTACCCTCACCCTCATCCTCATATTTCGGCCAAACCGGTACACCAGTCCTATTCCCCGCATTTGGATCGCCCAAGGCAACAAAGTCGGAGAAGTACGCATTGAGTAACTCCTTGCCTACTTCTGGGTACTGTACACCACCGCTACCGGCGGGTTCAGCCCATGTGTACTTTGTGTCGGCGGTGTGGGGTATTCCTTTCCAGGTTGGGAATGTGTTGTTTACGGCGAAAACCATTTTGTACACGGGAACTGAGGCAGACGACATGCGCATGGCGGTTTCTTGGCCCGCGCAGACGTACATGTAGTCGGTAAGCGCGGCGGAGAGGCGGTTGTATTGTGTGGAATTAGGGCTGTGGGCGTAAGGGCCGTTGATGTCGTCCGCTGGGTCAGGGTATAGCTCCTCGAGATCGGATAGATCCTCGGTGGTCAGACCGGGGATCAGGTTCTTGATGAAGGCGAGGAAATCTTCGTTGGTGGATATGTCGCCTGGAGAGTAATACTTTGCTTCGTCGACAACGTTGGTAGTGATGGTGGGTATGCGGTAGAATTGTTCGTTGATCCCGGATGTTGAGCCTGCTTGCTCGAGGAGAGGACCGCCTCGCGTGGGTTGGAATGGCCACGTGATGGGGTATTCTGAAGCGCGCCACAGCAGAGCGCTGGCGTTCTGGATCGCATCGATGGGGACGGATCGAAGGCAGCTGAGGATTTCGGCATCGGTGCTATTGGCTACTGCGCTGCATCCTGTGTAGCCAAGGTATTGCGCAAATTGCTCCTGGTACAGTGGGTAAGATGCGTTCGGGAACGCTCGAGCAGTCACACTGCCGGACTGGAGAAGAGCCTGCGAGAAGAGCGCTGGTGCACCCTCGGTTTTGTTGTAGTTGTGGAAGAGATGAATGCCGACTGAGTGCGCACCAGCTGAGCGACCTCCAATCGTGACGCGAGAAGCATCGCCTCCAAAAACAGAGATGTATTTCTGAACAAACTTGAACAGGGTTTCCTGATCGCGGAGGCCAAGGTTGAGAAGTCCCTCGCGCTCAAAGACTGGAGACGGGAGGAAACCCAGAGAGTTGACCTGGGTGACATTAGCCTGACTCGTGTGAAGACGATAGCTATGCTTACCCTGTAGTTGAAAGTGACAACAACAAGCGGCTCCCTCGAATTAGCCACGAAAGAAGCACCGTCAAAGCTCCTCGCGCTTCCAGCAACGAAGCCACCCCCATGAATCCAGATCAGCACCGGTAGTTCCGCATCTTCCGCAACGCCCTGCGGCCGGAAAACGTTCATGCTCAGACACGCCTCATCCAGTTCGTATGGGAGTTCGTCTGGATCCTGGAAACACGAGTATCCATAACTGCTCGCATTCTTGATCCCATGGAAAGGCTCAGGCGCACTAACAGGCGCGAATCGTGCCTCTCCAATAGGCTGAGAAGCATAGTCAATACCGAGCCAGGCGTCTACAGCGCGTGGTAGAGGCTTCTTCGTCAGAGTCTGCGAGACCGTAGTGCCGACAAAGGTACCGTAGCCAGGAAGCGTGACTGCAGATGAGGTGTTGTATGCTGCAGAAACGCTAGACACACTGGTCGTGAGCAGCGCGAAGCTGGTGAGTAGTCGCTGAGCCATGCTGGTGTGGCCCATGATGGCGTCGATGCGGGAATGTAGGATTGACGCGACGCGTTCGCACAACGCTGAAGCTACGTCCAGCGGCGCCATGGTGGAAGCTCATATACCAACATCCGACGTATGCTATACTTCCGAGATCGGTCGTATACCATGCACTGCGTTGCATTCGTATCGACGTTCGTCTCCACTCCCGACTCCACTACCCCACAATCTGCCTAGTAATCAACGACGCGATGGTCTTGGTACCTGCTACATACGGCGGCGACGTACGACAACGCGGAGATACGCGTTCTGTCGGCTGTTATCTGTCATCGGCAATTCGTCGGTACTTTATCTGACAGCCGATCGGATGGCATCCGACGGCAACGGATGTTGATAAGTGAGGACGGATAAGTGGTGAGGTTGGGAGATGCAGGTTGCGCGAGCGGAAGTTTGCCGGGTCCGGGTAACGAAACCCCGGGGGCCGAGCACCCAAGCCACGGCGGTATCGATGTCAAAGAGACGGGTTGACCATGACAGTCGAATATCATTGTCGCGATAGTTCACTAGAATGCGGTCCTGCCAGCTGCATACGCATTTGCTTGCCTACTCTGGTCCACTAGTATTAGACGTACCTAGGTATGTGCCATATTGACCTGGCCTCAGACATACTGAGCCTTCAAAGGGCATGAAAGAGCTCCTGCTATCTATACCGTTGCAAAGTCTGTTTCGAACAGTCTTCCGTCGTCTTCTGCACAACCAAAAAAGGCATGTCTTTGGAAAGAACCCGTGACTATGCCTGCGCCGCAACCTACAGCTGATTGCCGATGTCCTGGATGCTTACTTCGGTCTCTTTACGGTAGTCAATACATGCATATGCCATGGCGAATCTAGCGAAGCTGTTGAGAACATCGCTGTTGCGTTTGGTTCGTCCAGCTGCGCGCTGAATCCGTTATCATTTTTGAATTTCCAAATTGAGCTGCTCCCGAAATGGGAGTGTTCGTAATAGGCTGGGTACCCTATCCGAAAATAGAGTGATGCTCGTTTGTGAGTTCTCGATTCACGAGGAAGTCCTTGGCCTCTCAAAGTCAAGAATTTCTTTTTCACTGGCCCTTCCGCATGGAGCAGTATAGTTTTACCATCGACATTTTGGATCTTCCTCTTCCAGCCGTTTTTCTTTTCTGCTGATGTAAGGTGGATTGTGTGGACCAGATCTCCATCAAGATCCTGGAATAGCAAATGCGGTTTCTACGAAGCATCAGTATGTCGAATTCGTGTCTCAGGATCTTGAGACTTACACGTCGAATCTTGAACACGATGGACGTTTTAAGCTTGAGGTGTGGGTCTGTTTGCATAACATAGCAGATCGCATTTCCGTTGAGCACTCCCCGCTTGATCTGTAGGCTGATCGCGATGTCTTCGAAGGACTCCGAATCGTGGGTTTCTGGATTGACAGTACTGCGCCGGAGAGTGAACTGCTTGCTCGTTCCGGTGAATACCTCTTCAAGAGTTACATCGACATACTCCCGGACCACACGTGGCCCGCGCGACTTATCGTGGCAAAGGCTTTGGTCGACCCAGCACCTATCTTGCTCGTCAAAGTGATATATTTCCTCGGATTTCACAACTTCGTAATACCACCCATGATTAGTCAGGTCGATAAGCGTGCTTTCATGTTCAGTTGGCTCGGATGGGTTTGTGCGCTTGCTACTCGTCTGGTACCGGAGTGCGCGTTGTTCTAGATCAGAAACCAGACGTGGAGTAGAGCCATCCTCTGGAGCTTCGTGGGTTTCGAGATTGAATGGTTCAGCCGGCGTACTCTTCATATAGTACCCGAGTGCGAGCAGTTCCTTTCCGGATTTCTCATTGGGCGTGGTCTCCGTCTGGTATTGAAGTGCGCGTCGTTCTGATTCACAAAGAAAGCGCGGAGTATAGCCACCCTCCGGAGCTTCATGGGCTTCCAGAGACTCTTGCATATCCTCAGACTGACTATTTTGCTCATCCGTGTCAGACCCGTCGCCTGAAGAGTTGGGGCTGTCGCCGCGTATGTGACTGTCGTTTCTGGAAGATTTGGTGTTCGACGGCTCTTGTACGCTACATGTGTCCGAACTGCTGCTTGTTGCCGTGCCATCACCCTCGATAGCGGCGACATCGTTGTCTGGCATCGATAGCGGTTGGGAGGTTTCTGCGTGTACTCGTTCCACCCAGGCGTGAACTTCATATGATACGTCAACATCAACCTCTGTCATATGGTCGTCGAGGACCTCGTCTTCCAACGCTACCACATCCTCCGAGTTTACGAATGCCGTGGCATCACGTCTACCCGCGAGCACGTCCATATGAATCCGATCCAATTTCGCCCGGATTTCGAGAAGCGACAGATAATGCGCCTCAGTATTCCTCTCGATTCTCGAAAACGTGCCGACGTTGATGCCGGTCAACAGCTGTTGCAACCGAACACTATGCGTCGCAATCTTCTCCCGTATTGCCGCCTGCTTCCCAGTCGTGAAAGCGAGCCGATCGAAATACCGCGCATCGCGTAAGTTGAGCGACCGGAAGTCGTGCAGTATCTTCTTGACCGAGCGAAGATCGGCTTTGCAGTCCTGTAGGCGCGCAGCGAGCTCGCCCTTCTGCGCGAGGGGAAGCTGCTGGAACGAAGACAGGGGGTTCTTGCACTCATCGTCGAGAGCGATGAGGAGTGTGCGTAGAGAAGCCACTATTGTGCGCCGCGTTAGTGCTTGTACGAATCGTGTTACGGGCAATACCCACCATCTGACGTGATCTCTCTGAAGTTGTCACCAGCATTCTGACACGACTTGTAGACCGAATACGCGTAGTTGCTGATTAGGATGATATCCCCGATGGAGAACCCGAAGCTTGCCATTGCTTAGTTCCGCGAAGAATGACGCTCCCAAGGTCAGGTCGCAAGAATGAGCGATGAAAGTCATGTTCATGTTCAGCGAAGGCTGTGTACTAGAAATGTGCTGCGGCAAGGCGGAATGGTGATGGCGGGGTTGATTGTGGCGTTCGCGTTGCCTACGCTAGCGCTCTCCAGGACCGTGTCAAGGTGTGAGTGGTGGTTGAGCATCTGAGCATCAACGTACGCATAAGCAACTTAATAAGGCATCTGGCTGGCTAGGCTGGACGCGGAACAGGCGCGGCCCGCCTACACATGGATTGGAGAATTCGCACGCGAGCGAGGTATCTAAACGTCAGTTAATACGCATCCTAGATGCCTACATACCTAGGGCTACTTACTGTTCATCATACCTGGATACATCGAGAAATCTGAACCAGTTAGAGCATGCGCGCGATGCACTCTCCTCATGTAACTTGTCAACCTGAATACGAATTTCGTGAGGATGGTGGTTACTAACATGAAACTGCACTATCATCGCGGATTGTAAGTGCCATGCAAAAACCCATACTCATTACCGCTCAAGTCGTGGAGCGCAAAAAGCAAGGCGGAAATGCTTCTATAGAGAGATTTGAGCCCGTGGAAAACAGGACTGTGCTTGGAAGAGTCATAGCCGACAGCATGCCAGATTACCCGTGGACGTTCGCAATTTCAACAACAAAGACAACTAAACCTTACTGTGTATGATATGCTCAGTAGCCGCCCCAAGGACAAGGACGGAGTCTGAGGATCGAGATCTCTCTCATTTGATGAGAACTATCTTTGAGTATGTGGTGGTGATGTATTGCGGGAGTCATGAGTCGAGCAGCCGTCAAGAGTCCATAGCGCCTTGTCTCCATCTTCAAACTGTCTACGAAGGGAAACACTGATCTTGATAGTTCGTAAATGAATGTGATCATCGTGCGCTCAAAATCTACGACCGAATGCAAATACAAATGTAGGAATAGCTTCATCTCCCGGCACTCGCCCAATCATAGGCTTTGAAGGCGTTAAGACCCTGCCTTCATCGATCTCAAACCGACCCAAAAGTAACCAATCCCGATGAACGCCATAGCCCAGTGCACACCAACGCTTCTCAGAACTCCCTCCCCGTCTCCCTCCCATCCTCCCCTCCCCCCTCACATCCCCCCATACCCCTCCCCCCTAACTCCCCCCATCAAACCCCCTATCCAACTTCTTCAGCGCCTCCTCCACCTCCACCGCCCTCTCCTCCCCACCCCTCAGTCCCTGCAACCTGGGCAGATTATGCATAACGCGCTCAACCATCTCCTCCAGTGCCTTTGGATCACGCACACCACCCCCGACACCCGTCATCGTACCGCCAATACCCCCCAGGGCAGTAGCGCGCATGTTATCCCAGACAGCTTGGGCGGAGTCTGACTTGGCTTTGCCTTTGGTGGTGGTATTGGGAGTGTTGGTGTTACTTGGACTGCCATTACCAGTGTTGCCAGTACCAGTACTATTACTGTTTGCGTTGATAGTAGTAGTGAGGTTGTTGCTGTTGGGGTTGGAATTATTGTTGTTCACGTTTTGACCACCCCCATTATCTGTCCCCATCGTCAGCTCCGTATTCTGAATCGGCAATATCTGCTGCTGCTGGTGCATCATATGCGACGCCGAAGACTGCGGCACATGTTGACGTTTCCTCAGCATGACCTGGCCTTGTTTGTCCATGTAGGTTTCGTACCCTTGTTGGTCGAGCACTTCGTCGGGGACGCGGACGTTGACTGGTGATCGGTTGCTGCTGCCACTGCCACTGCCACTTCCGCTGCTCTCGCTTGGGACAGCAGGGTTCGGATTTGGATGTGGACTTGACGTCGCAGCTGGGGCGGCGGGGGCTTTCGCTTTCGCATTGGCATCTTGATTATACTTTTCCAGCGCGTGAATCCGATCTTGATTCTCTTTATTGCCTTCCATAAGAAACCGGAGACACATGATAGCGTGTTCGCGGATATAAGGGTTATGTTCGTCGTAGGAGCAGCAGTTCAACACCGCCTCAATACCACCCAATGGCCGTATTTGATCTTGAACGTGCTTGTTCTTCCAGACCAGGGAGCTGAGGACGAGAACGGCGAGCTTCTTCAGATTGCGCCACTCGAAGTCGGAGGGCTCGTCGGCTGCTTCGTCCATGTAGGGTCGGGGTGAGGGTGAGGTGGGTGGAGGGATGTAGGCTTCGGCTGCGCCGGCTGTGGTGTCGTACGGTCGTTCGACGGCGACTGGTTGGGGTTGTGGTGGCTGCTGCTGGTCTTGCTGCTGGTGCGACGGAGGGATGTGGACCTCTATTGGGGCTGGAGGTGGTGGCGCGTGCTGGACATTCCTCAGAGGAGGCGGCGATAGCTGACCCTTGGGTATTGCTGCATCTAGCTCTTTCAACAAGGTCACCAATTCGTGAGAGATTTCCCAATTGCTCAGCATTCTCTTCCATGTCTCGTGTTCTGTAAGAATGGCGAAGAACTCTAGGTACTGGTAAACGCCCTCATACATGCGTTCCATGTCCCACAGATTGAGAGGGAAGTCTTCGGGTTGCGCGTGTCCAGCGCGGATCTGCCCTTGCAGGAAAATCAGGGCGCATGTTTGGGGAATGATGTGGCGACGGAACTCGGTGAGTAGAAAGTTGACCATATGGACATCGCCTTGGTCAACTTGCGGGTGGTTCGCCTTGAGATGGCCCTTGGTGGGTTGAGCACGGGCTTGTCTGGCGCGGAATATATTTGTGAGGAGCTTCATGATGACTGCCTGAGCCGGAGAGATGATGTCCTTGGATCTATCGTAATGTTAGCCAAAGTTTTTGCTTCCAACGGGTACACTTACTCAGACTCTCTAAAGGCATGGTAAGCAAACGGCAGTAGCTGGTTCGCAAGAATAGCCTCCATGATCTTGACCATGAACTTGAAGTACAACTCTTCCTCGCGCAGATCCCAAGCAGCAACAAAGATCAACAACTCGCGCAGCAGATTCCGGCCATTGTCCTGCGCAAGAAGCAAATGACACCGAACCCCATGCATGCTCCTGACACTGCTGAAAACAGTCGGATCGGAATGATGACCAGGCTGTCCCTCCGTAGGCTCAACGATTCCAGCCATGATGATCATGGGTAGAACCTCAATCTCGGTAGGACCCAGAATAAGCGGAACATCTGTGAGCAACCCTCGGCCTTCATCACCAGGTATGTCATCGTAGTCGTCATCATTGTCATCGTCATCCTCTGGCGGAGGAGAGGTAGGAGACGCTACGTCACTGATTAGCCCTGATGGACGGTCGGGGTCTGGCTCCAGCCGCTTAAGCAGATCTTCTTTGCCATTTTGGAGTATCTCCGCACCGAAGGATGGCGGGTATGTCACACGGAAATCGATCTCACCTGCCGGGGGAGACCGTTTGATGCTGGGATCTAGTAACGAGTCATCCAATGCTGGTTTCGGGGATTGCTTCTCCGCTGTGGGTTGGGATGGTTGTTCGCTGTTGGACTCGTCGCCAGGGAGAGCTGTGATGGATGACCGCATCCTGTCGACCTCCACTTGGAGTTGGTTGATGCTTTTCGCCAGCGCCTGTACACTCTCTTCGTTCTTGGCATGCTGATCCACGACTTTGCGGTATGTGCTGGTTTGAGTGATTTGGTCGCGGTACCTAGCCACAACGTCTGCATAGAGCATATTCCATTTCTGACAGTGTTAGCAGGAATCAGGTCATACGACAGACGTAACTTACGTTCTTCTCCTCTTCGCCCATGGTCTGCCACCTCCGCCTGCATTCGGCAGCAATCTCGTTTGCGCCCGCCTTGACACCATGATGTATCAGAGCTTTCTTGACGTCGTTGCCAGTCTCGCCAATGTAGAGCAGGAATGGCGAGGACGCAGGCTGCTGAGGAATCTTGAACGCGTCCAGACTTCGCGCTGCATGAGTCGGCAGAGGCTGCTCCTCCGGTGGCGGGCCTTGATCTTGTTGTGGAAACTCGTCCATTTTGTACTTCATGTCTGCGAAGTTGGGCAGTTCATTGTCGAGATGACTGTCAAATAGTTCGATCCAGAGCATCAGTTTCCGCTGCTCGTTCCGCGCGATGAGATTGTTGAGGAACTGCAAACAAGTGATGAGGAGCTTCTTGTACGCATTAATGACGCCCTGCCATTTGTCTTCGTCCTGGGTTCCAGCCTCGCCATCATAGCCCCGCGCCGTAACGCGCACGCAGACATTGATCAATGCAAAAATGTCCTTGTCAAAGAGCCTGTCTGCACTCAAATTCTGCACCCGCTCGCCATGTACCTGCACATTCCTTGCAATGCACACAAGCTGATTCAGCCGTTCCAAATCCCTCAGCAGACTCGGCGAATAGCTTGCGATGAGCGGACCCGACAGACCCTCATATTCAGGCGCAGCAGGATCCGGCGCAGCGAAACAGCGGCGTTCGAGCGAGGGGATAGCGGCTTTGAGCACGCCCGCGAGATCGTCCCAGAACTCCCACGAGAGGCCGAGTTCTTCGCGCAACTCGAGGCTCTTCCGCGACTCTTCCAGCGTCTTCTTCACCACGTCGCGCTCTAGCATGCGCAGTGTATCGTCGCGGACATAGCCGGGGTTGTGGAAATGCACGGTATAGGGCGCGAGCGCAAGACGTAGGCGGGTGAGGTAGGGGCGCGCGGTCATGCCGGACGAGCTCTCGGGCCGCTCCGAGTCGCCCACGCTCTCCGTGTCGTTGATGCTGTCTTCGGCCATGGCGGGCTCCGTCTCAGGCTTCACGTCGGGCGGTGATGGCGCGCGGCGGTCCCAGTCATTCCACAGTTGGTGCTCGGCGAGTAGCGATCGGTAGACCCATACACGAATGGGCCCGGGTGCGCGGAGGATGCGGTAGACGTTGTTGGAGGCCAGTTTTTCGACTATGTTGTGGTATTGCGCCAGCGCTATGGGTGCAAAGGCGAGGTGGGCAGTCTCTTTGCCCGTGTCTGCAAACGGCGAGGGGAGATGCAGAGCAGCAGGCAGCGAATCGGAGTGCGTGGAGGAGCTCGAGTCGGAGGTCATGATGGCGGCGGCGTTGACCAAAAATTTACTGTCGCCTCAAGACGTTGCCCCACCATGGACCTGATCCCCCCCCCACCTGACGTATGCAGGACGAGGTCGCGATTCCCTCAGCTGTCCATGGCAGTCACTCGAGACTTCTTAGGTCATCTCATTGCATTCACGTGTTTACTCGCATCAAAATCATAAAAAGTCGATTTGTAACATTTTTCATTCATACCAATACTGGCATTACGAGATATGTACGGAGCATATGAACCTCGAGTAGGCATAGTATTTGGCCCGGCGAGTCTAGTGGTACCGCTTGTCTCAATCTTGGAAGCAATGTAATGTGGTCATGATACATGGTAATAGTATCTCCCACGGACATGAATTGTTCCGTTGGCAAAGCCTTTCAGCTTTGCGCTGTGCCGTTAAGCATGCACGCGTGACCCTCACAAGGGTCGGTGGTGAAAGTATAGAAAGGGAACGACGATGAGAACGTGGTGACGACGTTGTACGGGAATATTACATACCCTCGGCCTTGAGTCTAGCCGCCATGAAACGGCTCACCTTTTTGGTCTTGCCATCTCGTTCTTCTACAATGGGACTTTCTTCGTCCTCTTCAGTTGCCTTGAATCCGCCTTGGCGCTGGATGAAGCGATTGCGCGCCTTGTGATACTCTGCTTTGATCTCGCGGTCCAAAAGGACTGGATCAAACTCATCAGGTGCCTGAGGCTCTGAGGGAAGAGGGGCGTGCTCGGTAATGGTAGTGGCTAGTGTTCGTCCAGCAGGGCCACTTGGCACAGGCGGTGCTTCTGGAACCGGAGGTGTTGGCAGCATCTGGGGAGGAGTGTTCGTCGCAGCGCGGGCACTCTTGAACCTGGACACCTTGGCGGGTTTGGGTGGCTCTACCGGGGCTGAAGGGACGGCAGACCGCTCGACAATGGTATCGGATATGGTCGTTGTCGATCTAATAGGTAACCGCGCGGCCCCAGCTGGTTCTTGTACTGGCTTTGGCGCTTCAGATATGTCCAGGTCGTCGGCAAAGCGCACTCCCTTCTTCTTCGAGTCCTTTGTATCAGCCGGCGCCGGCATTGTCGCAGGAGAAGCCATGGACTCATCGAACTGATCGTCGCTCTTCACTTTCATGGTGCGAATGTCTCCGATGTGGTCTTCGAGAGATGGCTTGCCCGACTCAGGCCCTACATTCTCAAGCATGCGAGCGCCCAGCTTCTTCTCAAGTTCCATCATCTGTTTGCGATAGTCCTCGGTGATGACAGGCTTGGTGCTGCGGCCATACTCGTCTTCTTCTTCGTCGTCCTCAGTGTCGTAGTCGCCATAGTCGTCATCATCCTCTTCGTCAGAGTATGACGCAGTAGGCTGGTCCAGGTCGAGTTCAGCGACAATCTGTCCGACTTCCGACATGCCATACTGAAGCATTTGCCGTCTCAGCTCAGCTTCCTCTGCAGACTCATCGTCTGGTATAATGGCATTGGCCAAGCTCTCGTAGTCGTCCTGCGTGAGATCCTCATCGACAGAGAATTTTGCTTCGTAGTCAGGTTGTGCAGGTTGTGGCGTAGCTTTCGGGGTGGGTTCGACGTCGATCTCCTCGGCGAAAGACACTGACTTTTTGACAGGCTCTGGGTCTGAGGGTTGGGAGGAGGGTAGAGTGGGCGTGTTTTCGGAGGAGGACGGACTAGATTTCGACTCTGGTGTGGTGTGTGAAGTTGGCGTAGACGTGGACGGCGCATCTGGAGAAGCTTCTTGCGCCTCTGCTGCGTTCTTCTTCTCTAGCTCCGCCTTCTGGACACCAGCCTTGCGTAGGACCTCAACAAGCTCAGCTGCAGCCTTGCCCGTCTGATTCACAGAGCTCGAAACTTCGTTGCCCTCGTCATCCAGTTCTTCCTCAATGTCCATCATCGGCTCGCCCTCTTCATTGTCCATGCCTGGCTCCAACAGAACATCGACACCAGCAAGCTTCTTCTCGGCAGCATCAAGGTTCTTTTCGATAGTAGCACTGCTCGTCCGAACATAGTCAATGCGTCTAGAGATCATGTCAATAACTTGGTTAGCAGTGCGTTCCTTGGGCGAGTTCTTGCAAAGCAGCTCCTCGACTTCCTTGTGGTCCAGCAGGGTAAGGTCGAGGTCGCGTGCCATCTCACGTATCTGTGAGGGTGAAGGGTCGCTGGCGCCTTGGATCTCTTCCTTGAGCGCCTCATACTCAGCCTCCCAGGTCGTCCAGTGGGAGAGGGCTTTGCGCAGCTTATCGACATTTTGCTGCAGCTGCACACGGCGGCGCTCAATCTCCTCTAGGGCGCTCTGTGTTGAGGCTGCCATTTTTGCTGATGTGGTGAGTGGGTTGGAGAGGAAGGAAAGGTGCAGGAATTTTGAGTACGAGAAAAAGCGTCTGTCTTGGCGTTAGGCCCCACAAGGGAAACCATGCAAGCCACGCATACAGATCGTCGGTATGTCGTCTGTCAGACAGGAGCGGTTCCTGGACTTCAGACTCAGTCTTGTTTCCCCTGGTCTACATTTCTATCTACTTCTAGTCATGCTCCCAATCTCGTAAGACGACCAGCGACTTCCACCCGCTGAGTCAGCACCAAACCTCAAGATCCCTCGGCCCCATCCTCGCAGCTCCCTCGCCTCCGCCTCATACCCGCCATGTCGAAATCCGCGCGCGGCGCCGACGCGTCCAAACCAGATGGCGGTGCGTCTCTCTCCAAAACCCTCTACAACTTGTCTTTACAGCAGTCACAACCCCCACGTTCCCTCGCTGACGATGCATCAGACTCTTGCCCCGTATGCAGGTCGTCGCGCTTCCTCAACTCCAACATGCAGTTCAAGATCAACCCGATATGCTACCACAAAATGTGCGATACCTGCGTGGATCGGCTCTTTGGCAAGGGCAACAGTATATGTCCTGTTGCTGGATGTGCAAAGACGCTGGCGTATCGGAACTTTCGGAGGGCGACGTTTGAGGATCTGAAGGTGGAGCGGGAGGTGGATCTGAGGAAGAAGGTCATGAAGATGTAGGTGCTATTGACGCATAACAACGACGTCTGGCTAACAAACTACAGCATGCACAAAACAGAAGACGACTTCGAGTCCCTCCGCGACTACAACGATTACCTCGAGCAAGTCGAAGAAATCAACTGGAACCTCATCCTCAACATCGACGTAGACGCAACGTGGGCGAAACTAAAGAAATTCGAGGCCCTCCAAAAAGCCGAATTAGAAGCCGCCGCCCGCAACAAGAGCACCGGCATCAAAGACGACGTGGACCCGGGTTTCGCAATCCGCGGACTGAAGAAGCGCGTCGCGCCACCCGTCGAAGCACCCTTCGACCCATTCGGCGGCTACACCATCGCGCCACAATACTACGTCCTCCAGGACAGCTACGAGGTGGACTGGTACGCGCGTATGAAGCGAGATCCGGCGCATCTGGTGGGAGGACACAGCTTGCAAGACTACTGCAGTCGGACACTACGCGAAGCATTCGGTGGCCTGGGTGTCTTTGTCGAGGACGAGATTCCCGCGCGCGAAGCTCCGTCCATGTCCATGGATGCGGATGTGGGCACTGAGCATGCCGCGACGGCAGCCATGAGCAGAGATGTCATCATGGACGACGTTTTCTAGTTTTCTAGTACTGTGATACCCGGCTTCAGGCCAGCATTTGGGCGGCGTTGAGATGGCATTTGAGTAGATGAGATTATTTTTCATGGCATTTTTATAGGGATTATATCCTGCTTTGTCCAACCTCGCCCGCTGCCCCGTGATATCCAATGTCGTTGTACTCGAACTGCTCCTCAGGCAGCGCGTACCCGTCTCCGCCTCTACCCCGTTGCGCCCGCACAGCGATGGGATTAGGGTTGATGTCCCTTCCTGTATCCTCTTCATCTCTCTTCGCCTCCCCTCCATTTAGCACATCCAATTGCTGAAACACGCCCCTCGTCCTCGTGCCCCTCATGACCTTGACATCCAACCCTAACGCGCACCCGGTTGCCACAAAGCCTAGCAACGCGAAGCTGAATAGCGCCTTGTACATCCTGCACACGCTAACCCCGGTGTCTGATTCCCAGCTGTCCGCGTCGCAGACGTGTGCCAATGTACCTGAACACCACCACGCCAGCAAAGCAAATGATACAGCCCAGAGGAGCGTGAGGACGCTATTGAGAATCAGGTTGAGGGACGCGGATAGGCCGTGGCGGAAGTGTAGGACGATCGTGGTTGTGAGTGCGGCAAGGGTGAGGAGGGATACAGTCATTAGCTGGGTGGGAGTTAGTAATGCAATAAACGCATGTAGTAGGTAAATAGCCAGGACGAAGTAAGGTAACGACTCACCAAGATAAACGTCCACGGCAACCTATACCCATCATGCGCCAATTCACGCAGGAAGTAAAACATTATACTCGCTACTACGAGCGAAGAAAGTAGTTGCGCGCATCGTATGACGTGGAAGGGTAGGAATGGGTAGGCTGTGGGCTTCACCCGCGTCTTGCGCGGTGCCATCGTGGGCTAGAATGTGACGTGCTGTTTGGCGTTGTCGGCAAAGATGAAGTATGTAGAAGACAATGATAGAGGTGTTAGTGGTAGAGCAAAGATCGCATCTCCGTCATGTCCATGTTGAGACGCGGAGTTTTGACTAAACTAGGGGTCCAGCTGGCTGGTCTGGGCAGCTCAGTTTTCTCGTGTTGCGGCGGTTGGGCCGAGATGCTACCTTTTGGACGGTAGACATGTGTAACAGCTATAAGTGTATCAATATCCCATGGTAGAATGTTGTCTCGCAGTTGCGGTGTATTGTCGTGAGGATAGCCTTGTTCGTTCCTGCTGATAGAGGATCTCAGGCACCCGACTAGCGCGCCTCCCCCCTTGGGCGTTTCGGTGTTCTACAGCTTTTGATCATGATTTCATTTGACGGATGATTGCCTCTTTACCACGTTCTTGCTACACGCACTTCTACCGCTCGCGCATGCTCGGAACAACGGAAACGTAGCGTTGGCGGCAGATTTGGGGGTGTTCAAAAACCATGGACCGTTGCCACCAGTGTGGAATACGGCTCACGCATCATGCAATAAAGCGTCTAGTTCCCGTTCATCAACTCCCGGACCCACATTGCGGCTGAGTAGTCGAACAAGTCTTCACCATGTCCCCGGGCGCCATATCATGTTCCCGATGGGATGGCTCTCAGCATAGCGACAACGCCAGGGATCGCGACCGCACCGCTTCGAGAGCACCAGAAAGCACTGAAGCTCCCATGAAGCATCCGGATTACTCATACGAGATCCCCGGTAGACGGCGTAAGGACGCAGGCAAAGAGTGGGTATTGTGCCCATCCCCTGTCCCGTCTCGCATCGGATAAAATGGATACACGATATCAGGCCCGCACCTGCATATGGAATCTTGAATCTCGGCCCAAGATCTCGATGTCGCTAGCATGCTTTTCCTAGTTCAGTAGCGCTGACAAGCAATTTATATTCTGCTGGTATGCTCGAGGGCGGCGATTTACCGGTCTCCAAGTCCTGCGTCGGCTATTCAGTCTTTTGAGAGAGTGCTGCTTTTCCACGGGACGCGATTATGAAGTTACAAACGTCCACTTTGCTAGCGTTCGCGCTGTTGGAGTGTGGTAGTGCTGCAGTTGTTGAGCGGGAGGTAAAGGGAGAGGTTAATGCCAGCTCTTATGACTTTGTATGTTGTCTCGCGAGGCAAACAGGTTCCATCCCAACTCCGAAGATGATCTAACAGACGATGTAGGTTGTAATTGGAGGTGGAACTGCAGGTCTCGCAGTCGCTTCACGCATTAGTCTCGGACTCCCAGATCTCAACGTCCTCGTCATAGAAGCTGGACCCGATGGCCGTCAGGAACCAGGTATCAGCGTCCCAGGAAGAAAAGGGTCAACACTTGGTGGCAAATATGACTGGAACTTCACTACCATTGCCCAACCCGGCGCCAACAACCGCGTTTTTGCGCAGAACCGTGGCAAAGTCCTCGGAGGATCCTCTGCGCTCAATCTCATGACATGGGACAGGACTTCCGAGTACGAACTGGACGCATGGGAGAAGCAGCTAGGCAACAAAGGATGGAACTGGAAGAACTTGTACGCTGCAATGTTGAAGTGCGAGACATTCCTACCGTCGCCCGCCTACGGCACCGAGGGAGTCGGCACAACGGGGCCCATCCGCACGCTCATCAACAGGATCTTTCCCCGTCACCAGTCCTCATGGTATCCCACCATGAACAGCCTCGGCTTGGCGACAAACCGAGAGAGTCTAAACGGTAACCCCATCGGCGTCTCGACCCAACCGAGCAACGTCAGCCCCAACTACACTCGCTCTTACGCCCCAGAATACCTCAAACTCGCCAAGGATAACCTCGTCTTGAAACTAGACACGCGTGTGGCGAAGATCAACTTCAAAGGAAAGACTGCCGTTGGCGTCACCCTGGAAGACGGTACAACAATTACCGCGCGAAAGGAGGTCATTCTCTCGGCTGGATCGTTCCAAACTCCTGGTCTTCTGGAACACTCCGGTGTCGGCAACTCTACTCTGCTCAAGAAGCTCGGTATTCCCGTTGTTAAGCACCTACCTTCGGTTGGCGAGAACCTCCAAGACCACATCCGCATCCAAATCTCCTACCAACTGAAACCCGAATACTCTTCCTTCGACGTCCTCAAGAACGCCACTCGCGCGGCTGCCGAGCTAGCCCTCTACAACGCGGATGAGGTCTCACTTTACGACTACACCGCCAGCGGGTACGCATACTTCCCATGGGGTACCGTCAGCAACTCCACTGCATCCACGCTCCGCAACCTCGTTGACAGCGACGCGAGATTGACGTCCGCAACCGACAAGTTGAAGAAATCATACTTCTCCCCCGCTCTCAGCACAAAGGTACCCCAACTAGAAGTCATCTTCTCAGACGGCTACACAGGCCTGAAAGGCTATCCCGCTGCCAACTCCACCCAATTCGGCATCGGCACATTCGCACTAATCGGCGTGGTCCAACACCCCCTCAGCAAAGGAAACGTCCACATCTCCTCCCTTAACATCAGCGACAAACCGCTCATAAACCCAAACTACCTCTCCCACCCCTACGACCTCGAAGCCGCCACAAACCTTGCTAAATACCTGCGTAAGATCGCTTCCACCGCGCCCATGAGCGAGGTCTGGACAAATGAGTACGAACCGGGCAGTGCTGTGCAGACGGATGCGGATTGGCGCAAATACGCGCTGGCGAATACGTTGAGTATTTATCATCCTATTGGTACTGCGGCGCTGCTGCCGGAGAAGGATGGCGGTGTTGTGGATGCGGAGTTGAAGGTTTATGGTACTAAGGG